TGTTGGGCCTCCTCCAAAGACCTCAAAGTGGTGGGTATGTTTCCCTTCACCACCTCCTCTTTCTCTATTATAATTTTCTGATTGATAGCTTGGTTCAGTGAATCCAGGGCTGCGCTCAGGTCACCTTTAACAATATCCTTTTTCTCCAGGTTTCTGTAAGTAACAGTAGGCTCTGTCATAAAGACTTTAACAATACTGTGTACATCACCAGGAACTATATCATCCTCTGCCACGGTGCGACCAATCTGTTGCTGATTCTTTCGCAGTAGCATTTTAGTTTCTTCAATGTCACCACCTATGATGCATTCCTTTTCTAACTTTTCTTGGACTCCATCAGACTCGTTCTGAAGCTGTTTCAGGTAATCCAATGCTCCAGACTCAATGCATGTGGAGTAAAAGCTGACATTACCCCTTTCCGTGTCTCCAACCTTTATCTTTTTAGAGTCTTGTTCACCTGAGTTGGAAAGAAGATGCTGGAGAGTTTTGCTGATATTCCCTTGAATGATATCTTCTTTCTCCATGCTAATCCCCTCCCCTTTATTTAACAGGGAATAGATAGTCATCCTCACATCTCCTTTTTCATTCTCTTGAATTAGAATGCCACGTTTGGAGGAGCCTTCGCTCTTGAGCAGACTGTTTATGGCCTCTTGAATGTCACCGTGGATGATTTCCTCCTTCTCAACACTGATTCCCTTTTCCTGGTTGAATAGCTGCTTCACTGTGGTATTGATGTCTCCCTGCTCTTCCTTGTCAATAGTTATCCCCCTTTCAGTGGTTTCCCTGCGGTTCAGTAGGTTCATCATTATGTTGCTCAAATCTCCTTTGATAATCTCTTCCTTTTGGATTTGTGGAGCCTCCTGGTTCATGAGTTTATACTTTGCCATGCGGACATCGCCAATCTCATCCGACTCAATAAGGATACCTTGTGATTCGACCATTTTCTGAGAGTAAAGCTCCTCAAGTGTCTCTATGATACTTTTACCTATTATTTCTGTCTTTTCTATGCTGCTCTCATTGAACTCATGGAATGGAGTAGTTTCAAACAGCCATGTTGTTGTCTTCACATCAGCCTGTGGGATTTCCTCCTTGGTGACAACAGGTTCTGTGCCATCAGTCTCTTTGATACTGTCAAGGGGCTGCTTCTCAAACAGCCACACAAATTGTTTGACATCCCCTTTCATTATTTCTTCTTTTGTCACCCTTTCCATGCCATCGTACTCTGTGCCTTCACCACGTATCTCATCAATTGTGTGTGTTTCAAACATCCATGTGGCAGATCTGACATCACCTTTTTGGATTTCACTCACGCTAACGGTTCTGATATACGTTTGATACATCTCATCGGTTTCAAATCGCAGCTTGTTTGTCTTCACATCACCTCCTTGGATATCTGCAACTGTTTTTGATCTTACTTTTATCTCCTCTGTAATTTCATCCAGAGGTTGTGTTTCAAACTTCCATCTGGCAGAAGTAACATCTCCTTTGTTTATGCCTTCCTCAGTCACAGCCTTAATAACATAGACCTCCTCCGAATCTCTAATTGAATCCAGTGGCTTTGTTTCAAACAACCATCGGGCCCCCACTACATCTCCTCTCACAATTTCTTCCTTGGTAACTGTAGTTACTTCATGATAATGGCCCTCCTTGTCACAGATGGCATACAGCGGCTGAGTTTCAAACATCATGGTGTAATTCTTCACATCTCCTCTTTCTTTTTCATCTCTAAAGACACTAGTGACTTTTGAAATATCATTCTCAGTGGACTGTTCTTTAATTTGATCCAGAGAGTATGTCTCAAAAATGAATCGGCCTTTGTTGACATCGCCCCCCTGAACATCAGTCACAGTGCGAGTTTCCCTTACCTCCATGTTGTCATCATGGATAGCATCAATTGGCTGGTTCTCAAACATCCAGGTACAGTTGACCACGTTTCCCTTCTGGATGTCCTCAGCCTGCTGTGCCTTCAACCTCTGCATCATTTCCTCAGAGGTGGAGCTCATAATGTCAGAGGAGTGATTCTCAAAGATGTACTTCATTCTGGAAACGTCCCCTGATTGGATGTCAATTTCTGTAACCCTTCTGAATGAACTAGTATCCTTGCCTGTGAGGTTTTCAAGATTCTCAGTTTCAAAGAGGAAGCGTGCCAGTCGCACATCTTTTCCTTGGATGTCCTCTTGCTTTACAGTGCAGGTTTTCAGAAAATTCTCAGACTCTGAATGATCGTGTATATTGTCAAGTGTCTGAGTCTCAAAGAGCCAAGTGCATGTTTTGACATCACCTTTCTCCACTTCCTTGACATCAGTCTCGCTCTTTTCCACCTTTTCATACAGAACATCCATTGGCTGAGTCTCAAATAGCCACCTACAGGTCTTCACATCTCCTTTTTCTATTTCAATATCTTCCTTAGTTTTATGTTCTTCATCCTCAACATTACTGAAATATTTAATGGCATCAAGCGGTTGAGTTTCAAACAACCACTTGGCTGTTTTGACATCTCCTGACTCAATCTCCTGTTTGGAAATACCTTTAATAATCTGAAACTTATTAATGCTGTCATCAAACTCATCAATAAGATGAGTTTCAAACATCCATCTACAGCTGCGCACATCTCCCTTCACAATCTCCTCACGCCTCACGGTTCTCACCTCATGGTAATGACCAGAGCTGTCTTGCATAGCATACATAGGGTTTGATTCAAAAAGATTTCTGTTGGATTTGACAGATCCACTTGTGACACCTTCAACTTGAATTTTTTGGGTACCTTCACACTTACTTAAATCCATACTTTCAAACCATTCTTTATAGTTTGTCACATCTCCTTTGTCAAGAGCTTCAATGTTCACGGTTCTTATAATCTCCTTCTTCTCTTCCCTTATATTTTCCAATGGTTGGCTTTCAAACACCCATTTCTGATGCCTTACATCCCCCTTTTCTTCTTCAGATGCAACCATTTTCTTCAATTTTCCCACTTCGAGCAGTTCTTTCAGATTTTCCATGGGTACTGTTTCAAACAGATGTTTTGCTGACTGAACATCGCCTCCTACAATCTCCTCGGTGGGTAAAGGTCGTGCATTGGCATTGTCTTTTAGCGTATCCATAGGTTGAGTCTCGAAAACCAAACAATGCTTCTGTACATCAGCTCCAATTATTTCTTCCTTTTGCATCCTGGAACTCTCCCATTCTTCATCTTTAATGGTGTCTAGAGTCTTAGTTTCAAAAAGCCATCTACCTTTGTTCACACCACCTTGAATGTTGTCCTCCATGGAAATACGACATATCAGCTTTACTTTGGCAGGGTCTTTGTTGATCATATCCAGAGGCTGGGTTTCAAACATCCATCGTGATGTTTTTACATCTCCTTTCTCAGTCTCCTCCCTGCGGATGGTGGTGATCTCCAGCATCTCTCCTGAATCACCCCTGATAACACACATGGGCTGGGTTTCAAACATGCGAGTGGTTGTCTTCACATCCCCTTTGATCTCCTCCAGCTCAGACTTTAGTTTCAGAAAGTGACTCTCTTCAATGGTTTCTGTTTTACCCAGGGAATCCAGGTGCTGGGTCTCAAAGAGATATCTGGCAGTTTTGACATCTCCACCAGTGATGTCTTTAGTGACAACGTTTGTCTCCTGCTCATCTTCTTGGTAGATCTTATTCAGACAATCGAGGGGCTGTGTCTCAAAAAGCCAAGTAGCAGTGCGAACATCTCCTCTCGCAAGATCAGTGGATTTTTGTGACTGCTCAGTTGTATCGGGAGTCTCAGCCCCCAAAGCATTCATTGGCTGAGTCTCAAACATCCAAGCTGTGTATCTGACATCTTTGCCAGCAATTATTTCTTGCTCGGCAATATTCCTCACATAGTTTTCATCTGGGGTTTCATCTTTGATCATATCCAGCGGCTTGTTTTCAAACATCCAGCGCATGGACTGCACTTCGCCTTTAAGGATCTCATCCCATTCCAAGTACTCGCTGTCAGGGCTCGAACTCGGGCTTTTGTCATCATTTTCAAACAAATAGCATGCTTGCTGGACATCACTTACCATTTCACTTTCCAAATCCTTCTTTTCCGCTTCAGAAAGCTGAGTCAAGAAGTCCACTTCAAGGTTCTTGCGGACCTCTGGGTGAATATGTTTACAGAGGCGCTTTAGTTCAGCCATTCTCTTGTTTTTAGTGTACTGTTCCTTATTAACTGTGTACTTATGTTGGGAGGCTAACTCCTGAGACTGGGAAGAGACATTGTACTCTGGGACCTCCTGTGACACCTGTAGCAGGTTTGAGGGGGTGGGAGGGAAATGGTCTGTCACCTCATAAGCCACTGATGAGGCAGTCTTTACAGTGGAGGAAGTATCATAGCTTGTCATGGCTGAAGCTTTGGAGGACTGGTTTACTGGCATCCACTGAAACTGGTTGACATCCACATCAACCTTGGGTTCAAACATGTTTTTGGTTAAGGACAGACGGAAATTGAACTGTAGTCACAAAATCTAGGTACTTTTCATTTTTGTGTCATTTATAGCACAGAAAGAACAGCTTTGAAAATTAATTTAGGAAATTAAGTAACAAATTTCAAGCTAAAATAAATATAAAAACTTTTGGAGTCAAGTCAAATTTATTTTCCAGTGCTAGAAGCAAAAGTACCAAATAATAAACCCATTATGGATGTAAATGCACAAATACAGACACATCTTGTGGCTGTCAGACCCATATATTTTCAGTTATGCATGCTCCTAATTACTGACATGATTGAAATATTCACTGAAGATCACTTTAACTGCAAACAGTGAATGTGAATTCTTGTTTTCATTTTAACACTGAAAAGTTTCAGACTTTGCCTGTGCAATCATGTGAGATCTTTTGTCCTTTCCAATTTATTTTCCATCAACTCATAGCATTCACAATTTCCTTTTGATGATTTTAAGATTTTAAGTGGCCACAGCTTCATACTGATAACTCATAAAAAATCCCAAACTACATCTATTTAGGTAAACAGACAGCATCATTACCTTAATTTCCTTGGCTGGTGCAGCTTCCTCAATCGTTTTTTCATACTGCTGCTTCAAAGCCTGAGTGGAAACCTTTGGTAGGTCCTCTCTTCCGACAACCATAACTGAATTAGACACAAGAAGAAGGCTGCCTCATTAAATCATTCCCAGTAAAGGGCTCAGGGGGATTGGAAAAAAAAATAAATCATTTCATTAAAAACTTGAGTAGTTTTCATTTTCTGAAACCATACAGGGTGATTGCCCAATTTCCACTTTCTAATAGTTCTTACTTCTTCCTGACTCTGCTCGGATTAGATTTGCTTTGCTATGCAATCATCTGGCACCCTAACTCATTTTTGTAGCTCATCCCTTATTCGGCCATGGTAGGAAGAGTCATTAATATACAGCACACAAGCAGTGCTGTGATTAAAAAAGTGCAAATTACAATATTAAAGGCATGAGCAGAATAACCTGTTTCATTGTAATGGTTCCCATAACTGGCAGCCACACTGTTGTGATGGACCTTTTGATCATGGATCACCTGTGAAAAAAAGGTGGAAAATCATTAGTGTACTGGCAGCAGCACTGCAGCCTACAGTACAACCACTTTCAGTCAGTTAGAAGTATAAGGCTTAGCATGAGGCTAACAGGGTACATACAGAGTAAGAGAAAGTTGACATAACCAGAGACTGTGTTTATTAGCAGCCTGCCAGATGCCGCCATGCAGCTGGTGACAAATGGTGAGTGTAGCAGCCAGTACCTCTTGTTGGTTGTGAAAAAGGGTTGTGGTGGGGACAGTCTCTCTGGCACTGCTTCTCACTGTCACCTCTGAGGAGCTTGACATCTCCTGTCAAACACAGAAAAATGAGAATGTGGACAGTGAATCCTTTTCATAATGACAACATACAGTATATAACCTCCATTCAAGAATACACATACACAAAGACAGACACACATGCTGTGGTTGTATCACTTCACTGTAAGCTGTACAAAACAGCAGTAAAGTTAAGTGATTTTTATATAAAGACAAAGTCTAAAAAAAAATCCCTCTGTGGCCGCTAACAAATGTTTTAACATTATTGAGCTGTTTCCAAGGGAACTACTAAGTCTAAATTCAACTTAAAGAGGATTTCAGTGTTGGAGAGAAATACCAATAGATTCATGAAGGAGATGAAAAAGAAAAGTGATATTTGAGCTTTTCTCCTCTGCTATTAACATGAAAAATACATGGAGGGTAGGGGTGCTTTGTACTTATGAAACCACTTATGTCAGAATAATAAAATCTTTCCTGATATACAACCAGTTTAAAACAGAACTCACATATTACACCTGTGAATAAAACTTGATCAGAGAGTGTTTTTCTGTTGCAGCACAGAAGCAATAACTCGATCAAACAGACTCAGACACTTCCCCTCACAAACCCCTATGTAAAATTCAGCATTCAGCAAAGTCCTTGGGTGCTCGATGAATCTGCTCCGCTTCGCACCTGAAAGAGCAGATGGGGAGAATGCACAGAGGGGCAGAACTGACCCAGGCTGCTAATGCTTTCTGGCATTTTCCTCACGTGCTGGATGACTACGGCAGATAGACGAGCAAAGTTCAAGGTGCCCTCTTTGATATGACCTACAAAAATGTTCCACAGTTGCAGCCAGGTTTTCCCTCCCTGCATACTCCCTGATAAATTCTATACTGGCTCAAGCTTTGTTTTTAGCATACAGACATGAGAGTGGTATCAGTCTTCACGTCTCAAGCTGTTTAGCCATATCTACTTTAATATAGAAGTATACAGCATGTTCTGCTCATTTTAGAAAATCTAAAAAAAATTTTTTGCAGTGACCAACATTTCATTCTCACCTGTACAGAACTCTGTTGGAAGTGAGTCACGCTGGACTGGGAGGACGAGGAAGCAAATTCCTGGTTCTCAAACTGTCTCTTCACACTTGCCAAGCCACCAGGCAGCGAACAGGCCTCCGTCATCTATCAGCAGAAAATGGGTGACATAAATTACATCTGGAAACATACAGTATGTATCACAGATTAAACACACTGGGAGCTTAGATGGGATTTAAGAGATTGGATAAGAACATGGTGAGCCTATTCCTACTCTCATTGTTTGTGAATATGTCATACATCCACATATGCTAATACAAAAATGAATACAAAGGCATTATGCTAATGCTTTTGAAACATCAGCAGTATTGAATTTTGTTTCAATGTGGCATAAATGTGTATATGTAGGATCTAAATTTCAATCAATCAAAATTTATTTGTATACCATTTTAAAAACAACGCCTGGTCGATCAAAGTACTGTACACGGCAATGCAAATCCAGAGTAAAAAATATCACGGATCCTCTATGGTATAAAATGCAGTAGGCAAGTTGACCTTAAATATACTGAGACCCACTATAGGTCAAATGCAAACATGACACAGTTCCTCATTTGTGTTCCAACTAGCTGAAAGAAAAATAAAAACAAAAATAAATTAACCAAGTCGTTTTTTAAAATGTTGATTTCTTGCAGAAATTTCAGAAATCCTGCAACACACATATAAAAATCTTTGTCTTTCAGATTACTCAGTTTAATAGAAAAAAGCTTTTCAATACATTTTATCATTTTGCAAAAGGAATTATTTCTTAAAAGTGAAAAATACAAAAGCCTGGTCTCTTTGCAGAGGAAGAAAAAAAGACAGAAGAAAAAGACAGTAAATCTCATCAATACGGAGAATGCAGTCCTCACCCTACAGTTTCTTGGCAAGAATGCACATTGACTATTTGATACAATAATCTTATTTTGGGATTGTCAATCACTTTCCTAATAAAACATTTATATGTGGTTTCTGCATATATAGCTTCTGAGTAACAGTATATATGAAAATCTCCAAGCTTTCAGCTGTAAGAGTTGATGTGTGTGTGTGTGTGTGTGTGTTTGTGTGTGAGTGAGAGAGAGAGAGAAAATGTTGATCATGTTGATCACACATGGGTCACCTTTCGTTTTAAATGCAAGTGAAGGTCACAATGCAATTTGCAAGTTACTGCAGAGGAGTTCAGGTCAGTGACATTTTGTGGCTGCACACCATGCTATTAGTTTTACTACGGTGTGGGTTCAATAGCTTCATTGATATGACATTAAATCAACATCTTTTGTTTAAAAGGAAAATTAAAATCATACACATAATGACCACGTAAGCATACATACAGGTATGTTCAAACATTGAGCATGTGTCTTGTCCAGGTTCTGCTCCCTCTCATTTGCACATTAGAGAATCAGCCCTCTCGGTCTATTCCACTTGAGTGTTTTGAATTATGTGAATAATTACAATGAGTGTACACAGAAGCACTTAATTCAAACGGTCTCCTAGAAATGATATAGTTTACTATAAATTTGGTCTGTGAAGTGTATTTAGAAAGGAAGTGTAAAAAGTGCCAGACTATGATATCACAGGTTGTATGCATCTGGAGTCCATGTTAGCATTACAAAACTAAAGCACTGTGGTTAAGGTTTGATAGTTTTACAATTTGGGAAATACACATATATTCACTTTCCTG